GATTTTTTTATTATTTTTATTGATCCGCGGAAACCCTGGTTCATCTCGCGCATGCGCTCTACGATCTCCAAGAAACTCAGAGCGGCGCGGTGTGCAGCCACAGCCGAGGATGTATGCTTTGCTTTGTGCAGGCGGTCTGGAGCGGAGAATGGGGGATTTCGGGGTAAAACTCCTCTTGGACGCGATGGCGACTCTGCATCGAACAAGACGAACTCAAAGAAGAGATGCTAGCGGTAAATATATGTTCGATTACTGCCTGCAAAGCTAAAAGCAGCCTAGCCTAAGCTACGGCTAATAGCAGCCTAGCCTAAAGCTACGGCTAATAGCAGCCTAGCCTAAAGCTACGGCTAATAACAGCCTAGCCTAAAGCTACGGCTAATAGTAGCCTTGCAAGAACAAGCTTTATTAAAGTGTATTTTTTGTGATTCACAGGAAGCAGTACGCCGTCTTCACAACTCGGAGACTAATTGCAGGCGCTATGAACCGGAGCAAGGATAAGATTTAAAGAATATGCTTTCATTCTGCGGTAAAAGGAAATGGATACGGATGGATACCGATCATAGCTTTACATTTTGTTTTCACAGACCTCCTATTTGCTCGGAGCCATATCAGCAGGTCCAGATTTGCTCGATGTTGATAAAGATGACATTGTGTGTAAGTGACTTGTTTTAATGTTTTCTCCTTCCTTGTTACTGTGACTTGCATTTGATTTTTTATTCATACCACTCTCATTTAATTGTTTTCCAGCTGCCTGTAAGACGTATTTTCAGACGGTACGCAGGAGCTTCAGATATACGCTGCCAGCCAACACGTTGCTTACGGAGGCTGCCAGGCAATCTGCTCGGAGTCGGGCCAGAAGAAAGAGGGTAAGACTTTATTTGGTGACTATTTTTCAGGTGCATTAATAGATGTGTTGTGTCCATACGCAGTGCGCTGATTCATTGTTTTTTTTTTTTTCAGCTGCTGAAAGCGAGGCAGAGTGTGCTAGCAGATGAGGAAGTGGAACTCTGGAGGTCCGCCACCGTCGGCCTCATGTCCGACGAAGAAGATGGCGTCATTGACGGTGTCTCTGGATGGATTGTACGGTCGCCGCCATTTCGTAGGCCGGATCTCACTGAACTCTGTGTTAAGCTGCAGTCCCGGTTAGAAGCGATGCCGAAGTACAGGGCCACGCACAGTAGGCATCTGCGCATCGGACCTGCCTCGGAGGGAATGCTGCCAGTTACCTCCAACCCCGAGGAGGCAAACGGACCGTTCACGGAGTTGTAATTTTTAGATACGCATGTGTTTGGATACGCGTTGTATATAGTTGTGTGTGTTTTAATAAAGCTCTTTCTTTGCATAAACAGCTTTCTGGAAAATTTTCATTTCCTGTATAAATTCATTCATGTCCTTGATGGTAGCCTAATAATTGTGTAGTAGTGTAGGATAACATAAATACACAGCATATGAATGAATAAATATATGAATGAATAAATATATGAATGAATATATATATACATATATATATATATGTATATATATATATATATATATATATATATATATATATATATATATATATATATATATAATATATATATATATATATATGTAAATTTATATGTAAATATATATATATATGCCAACCAATCACGAGCGACTTTACTTGTTTAAAAAGAAGTGGTTCCGTCCAATACTCAGTAAGAAAATTAAAGCCTGGCGTGGCCACGTGTGGTTTTGCTGCCAATCACGAGCAATTTTACTTGTTTGAGAATAGTGGTTTCAGCCAATACTGAGTAGGTTATTCAAGCTAGACCTGGCCAGCCGCGCGGGTTTGCTGCATTCATATGCTAATTAGGGCCATTAGTACAGCTGATCGCTCTCCACATACGTCAGAGTCCGTTTCCGACAATTTGTGGCACGACAAACGCGGACAAGCACGGGTTGCAAATTGTCGGAAACTGACGAAAATCAGGGAGATCTGCGGGAGTTTACGGGGGTTTACGGGGACGAAAATCTCACTTTTTATGCAGTGATCCGGGGATTTAGTGCGTTCTCGATCTGCCGTTCTTGAGAATTGGAACGGTACTCGGGCTGAGACTGATGACGTGTCACGAGTACACGAGCACACGAGAATGCTTGTCATTACCCCATCTGTACCGGAAGCACGATCCGTACCATCAGCTCATTTGCGCCTGCGCGAACAGAATAACTTCCGGTGGCAGTATTTCCTTTTTCTTACGTTTTTATTCTTTTGTATTTTTTAGAGGCATGGGTTTCTTTTTGTATATCTTTGTATTTTCGTCAATATTGCATTTTCTAAAAATAAAAAAACAGAAATACATAAAAAAGTTCAATTGTCTTGTGATAGTTACTTTGACTGCTCTGAGCATACGCAAATATATGTCACACAGCGTTTATATTTAAATTTGTTTAAATATTTGATTTACTCTGTACTTAACGGTGCACTCCAGCAGTACTGATCCCACAATGGATTCATTTGCTACGTTTGGTGACCTGCAGTTTTTCATTGATAAGGGAACATTTCCCGAAAATTTGGATTTTTATTCCAGAAAAAAAATAAAAAGGATGTCTCCACATTTTCAAGTTAAAGGTAAGAAAATTAAAAAGTAAAACCAGCCAGAAAAAATATTCATTTAATAATTATTTAGTCCATTTAATGTTTAAATAAGAATGATACAATTTTTTTTGTCCCTGGGAAAGCAGTCTTTTCAATTTTAAATCCAATATAGAATATATTTCACATTTAAGAAGATTATGTTCTTATTTCTTTCACTTTTTATTCTAGCAAGCATGTTACGGTCAAAGTAAAAGTATATATTTAAAATGTTAAATGCGATAATATTTTTTACAATTTTAAATTATTTATTTATATATTTTATCTTGTATGCTGTTTGGGTTACTGCATTTCTCTGGGATGCACAAAAATATCTGTATGCTTTAAATTTTATGTCTTTGCATGAAAAAAAACATAAAATATGTTTTATTTATATTGTTTTCATATCATTCCATCCAACCATTCTTCTAACAGACAGCAGACTCTTCTACGTTGGTCCCAGACGGCAGTTCATGCGGCTTGTGGTACTTTCTGAGAAAGAAAGAACATTTGTCTTGATGGAGTGCCACAATAATCCTGGTACTGGCAACCACAATGGCAAGAGGGCCACTCGAGACAGGGTTATTGCTGGGTATTATTGGCTCACCATCACAAAGGATGTTGATGAATGGGTAATGTAAAACAAATTAATTATGGCTCATACCTTCCATCACCTTTAATTTTGAAGATTTTTAGCATAAAGAATGTAATACACAATTAGTAGAAGCTATAGGTTGTCTTTAGCTGATTTTGTTGTTTATCAGCCTGAATCAACTACACAAACAAATTTTCCTTTCAGGTCAAGCGTTGTCACCGCTGCCAAATAAATGATCCAATGAAAACTGTAGCACCGGTTCTACATTCAATCAAGGTTCTAATTTTTTTAATTTATAGACTGAAACACAAGCACTGTTTTTATAAGTCAATATAACCCCTTTCCATTATGTCTTTCTATTATTTGCTGATGAAGGTTCTCAGTCATCCAGGTCATAGTCATTCCGTAAAAATTCAAAAAATCCACTGGGCTTGGTTTTCAAGATTTGAAGACGTTTCGCCACCTCTCCAGGAAGCTTTCTCAATTCAAATGTCTGGATCCGCAGTGAGTTTGAGTCTTATATAGACAACGCCTTGTATCGCTTGGAAACATGCAATGGTAACCGATGAATGGGTCGTTAGTTCCCACGTTAGCCTGTAATATCTGAAACTGTCTATGATTCTAGGGGTCGGTCGTTAAAGGGGGGATTGCCATTAAGGGGGGGATTGTCTCCTGTAATACCTGAAACCTGTCTATGATTGTTAAGGGTTGGTCGTTAAGGAGGTATTGTTCACCGGCTGGGGCGGGTAGGTCCCTCGTTCCTCTGTGATGGGGTGGTGGGTTTGGTGATATCTGGAAGGGATCATGTCTATGATTGAATTGTATGTTTTTGGAAGCTGGAATCTGAGTCCACCACCTCTGTGTGACCCCAGTACATTTCAAGCCAAACCAAACCCTTAAACAGAGGCTAGTGCACCCTAAAGATAAAACCCCCAGACCGAATATGAGCGGAGTAGTATATGCTGTTCAGTGCAGCGAGGAATGCTCTGATCTTTATATTGGCGAAACAAAACAACCTCTCCACAGACGCATGGCCCAACACAGAAGAGCAGCCGCCTCTGGACAAGACTCCGCAGTACACCTACACCTTATGGACAAAGGACATTCTTTTGAGGACCAGAATGTCCATATTCTGGATAAAGAAAATAGGTGGTTTGAGAGGGGCGTGAAGGAAGCCATCTATGTTAAGAGAGAAAAACCAACTTTAAACAGAGGTGGTGGACTCAGATTCCAGCTTCCAAAAACATACAATTCAATCATAGACATGATCCCTTCCAGATATCACCAAACCCACCACCCCATCACAGAGGAACGAGGGACCTACCCGCCCCAGCCGGTGAACAATACCTCCTTAACGACCAACCCTTAACAATCATAGACAGGTTTCAGGTATTACAGGAGACAATCCCCCCCTTAATGGCAATCCCCCCTTTAACGACCGACCCCTAGAATCATAGACAGGTTCAGATATTACAGGCTAACGATGGAACTAACGACCCATTCATCGGTTACCATTGCATGTTTCCAAGCGATACAAGGCGTTGTCTATATAAGACTCAAACTCACTTTGGATCCAGACTTTCTATTATTTGTTCTTTTATTGTGTGGTAGGTAAAAGAACCCTGGGAGGTTCTTGAATTGGACCTGATTGGGCCATTGCCAGAGACCTCTCTGGGACACAACTATGTCCTCACTATGACCGATCTGTACACAAAGTGGGTGGTTGCTGAACCTCTACGAACAAAGACCGCTGTAGAAGTTTGTTCAGCACTCATCTCTAAGCTGTACACGTTTGGCCTAGTGAGAAAATAATAACAGATCAGGGGAAGGAGTTTGTGAACCAGGTGAAATTTTATCCATCTTCTCTTCTGTCATTTTTGCAAACTTCAGTCCTTTGAAGATATTTATGTGTTCCCTGCAGCTCAATGACAGTATCTTTAAACTGCTGAACATCCAGCATGCTGTGTCCAGTGCATACCACCCCCAGACCAATGGACAGGTATTTAGCCTGTGTTTTGCAAGAACTTCCATGTTTAAATCAAGTTGCTTTATTTATGAAAAAACATATCTTTCATTTAGGATGAAAGGACAAATCAAAATATAAAGCGTGCTCTGAGGAAGTACGTCAACGAAAGCCATAATGACTGGGACCTTCACCTTCCTGCAGTTGCTTATGGAATTAACACTGCCAAGCAGGTAGTACACTAGTGTTTCATTTGCACAAAATATCTGAAAACAGATAACCATGAACTTCTTTGCTATCAGTCTTCAACCAAATACACCCCATACTTCCTCTTGTTCCACCGTCACCCACGTCTGCCCGAGATAATGAATACCTGTCCAATGGGAGACAACTTTGAGGTTGGTGATGCAGAGGATGAAATCGATAAACAGCTGACTGAAGTACACAATCTTAATACCAAGGTTTGTAAATGTTGAGAAAATACTAGAAATAAGATTTTTTTTACAATCTTGCCTAAAGTGCATTTCTATTTTTGAAGGTTCTTCAAAATATTGAAATGGCACAGGAAAGACAGCAAAGGACTTTTGGAGACCGGAAACGCAAATTTACCCGTGTCGCAACTGTTGAGGCTGGGGATGAATGTCTGATTTCAGGGGCTTCAAAAAGGCCACGTACAGGGGACACATTGACCAGCCAGCACAGAGGACCTTACAAGATTGGAAACATTACAAAAAAGGGAGTGGCCACACTGTGCTGAAGGGATAAACAACCATGAAGGTCAATGTGTCCAGACTGAGGCCCTATTATAGGTTAACAAGTAAGTGCTTTTAGATGTTCCACACTTCTGTGTCTTTGTGTTCATATTTTTACTTCATGAGAGAGAATAACTGAAAAAATGTTGTCATCATATATACAACCAGATGAGCAACTATCTGAAGGGGAGCTCCTCAACGACCATGAATACTCCTCAAGGGACTGGCAGCGGGAGCATTCCTATTGTTTTTCTGGAGCAAAGTGGGAACGGGATGTGAACCCAGTTCAAGAGGCTCTTGTATGCTTTGACATATTTTGCTCTGAATCTGCGCCTGACTGGCTCTGCTAATTTAATCTCCTCTCCATTCTCACATTGCTGCCCCAAATCTAATAACTTCTCCTGAAATATTTTAATTTTCTTTCATTTAGCTATGTTACATATTGGAGGAAACGGCAAAAAGATTTGTAATTAAATTGCCTAGATCTTCATATTTACGCCCTGTGAAACAATTGAAATGCTTAACATCATTCTTTTCTGTTTTCACAAGGGAAAAGACATACACATCTTCAATCTGTATGTGGTGCCCCTGTGGAAGGCAGATGTGGATCCTTTCTGTTCACTGCCTGTAGGTATTTTCGTGAATTTATCTATATTGCTGTCCTCCTCACTCTTTCTATTCTTCAGTGTATACAACATGTATGATGTAATATTAATGCATATTGGTATTATTAGGACCTGACAACGAAAGACCTTGTAGTTTTCCCAGCATGGAGCCAACAACAGGACGCTGCTGATCACTACCTCCTCTGCGTAATGACAATTTTTGTATTTTAAATGATCTCAATGAAGGATGTATATGTATTGCTTTTTAATGATTTGATAATAAAAAGAATATCAATTGCAGGTTCTACTGGTAAAACAGAGAGAGATAGTGTTTCTTGACTCCCTTCGACCAGATGGTTTTGGTGACGAGGCCTACAAAAATATATTTAGGTTCAAGCTATATTGATTCACTGGTTGTGGCCTATTGCCAGTTCTGTCTCTTTGGAAATATCTTCATAAAAGCCTTGTTCTCAGGCTAGGTGTTCATAAAAGCCTCGTTCTCAGGCTAGGTGTTCATAAAAGCCTCGTTCTCAGGCTAGGTGCTCATAAAAGCCTCGTTCTCAGGCTACTTGCATATTTCAGTGTGTCACCTTAATCTGAATTTATAATTCAAATGTATGCAGACGCATTGCAGCCTTTATTGATCCAGGGCCATGGTCTGAGAAGACAGGGAGAGACCTTGAAGTATGTTTGTAATTATCAAAGTGTAAAATGTTTGCAGTAAAACACATATTTATCGCTCATATATTGTTGTACTTTTCTCTAATTTTACATGTGTCTTTTTGCTTCTCTTTTCTTAGCATTTTCCTCTTCAGTCCAACGGACATGACTGTGGGATCTTCATGTTGATGGTATTCACTGCTTACTTAAAGCTTTTACTCATGGCTCAAACTGTGTGTTACAGTTTTTTGATGTTTTACAGTATGCCCTCTGCATCAGCACATCAACCCCATTTACCTTTTCCCAGGTATGTTTATTTTTGTTTTTGGGGGGTTGATTACATTGAAATTCTTCTAGCCACTTGTAATTTTTATTATACTTGCTTTTGCCTGTTTTTTCAAGTGGGAGATGCCAACCATTCGCCATTGGTGGTGCCTCCAGATAATGGAGAGGTTTTGCATTGAAGGGTACCTTCACACAGGAAACTTCAATGTCTTCTGTATTTTCGTTTACTATGTGCTAATGATCCTGTTGTTCCATTCAAAGGCATGGACAACGATTTGCTCACTGGACAGAAGAATCCTCCCATCTTCTTGAAGGAATCCTGGAACCGGTCTTTAGGGTTCCAAAGTCCACCAGTGCAGAGACTTCCCCCAGAAATGGTGATGGTGGAGAGGGCAATGCGAAGGTGTGTGTTTAATGTTTAGTGCTAGTGTAGCGAGGGTGAAAAGCATCAAGCTCCTGGTTCTGCTCTTTCCTGATCACCTCTTTTGAAACTACAGAATTGAGTCACGTGTGTATATATATACTATATAGTATTTTACGTTTTTTTTATGTACTTTTTTCATACTTTAGGGACAGACACAGACCCTGAGGGACTTGCATAAAGCATGGGACTGGATTCAACAGTACAAAGCCTTATTCCGTGAGGAAATAGGAGAACCTGAAGTCTTACAGATGAGCAAGCCCAGGCAGAAAATGGCCCTTGAAGGATACAGTTCTGCAAAGGATCCCTTCTTAATTTCCTTCCAGTATCAGGAAGACATGGAAATGTTTTACATCAACTGTGTTGATGTAATGGGACTAAAGGTCAATACCATGTTTTGCGAGTATAGTTCTTAGAATGTTTGTATAGTCAGTTCTTAATAAGTTTTAAAGGTTTTCTTTCTCTCTCTGAATTATTTTATTCTCTGCCCAACTTTTCTAACTACCATGTTTCAATAATGTATGCTTTGGCTTTGTTATGTGTTATTTGTTCTATTCCCTGTTTGGTTTTTGTAAAAAATAAACAATGTGGGCATTAATGACGAGGTCTTCTCCTGTTTTTGATGTGTACACCAGAGGGCGCTAAAATATCAACTGATAACTTTAACGTTCTTAAAAAATCTATTTTATACAAGAGTATTTGTGTTCAAGTTTATTATACAACTTTATGTAATTTCAATTCAATTCAATTCAGTTTATTTATATAGCGCCAAATTCACAACACATGTCATCTCAAGGCACTTTACAGTTCAACCAGATCATACAGTCAAATTGATACAAAGTTTTCTATCTAAGGAAAACCAGTTGATTGCATTGACTCATTGACTCAAATACAATCCCCCACACTAAGCATGCTTGTAGCGACAGTGGAGAGGAAAAACTCCCTTTTAACAGGAAGAAACCTCCAGCAGAACCAGGCTCAGTGTGAGCGGCCATCTGCCGAGGCCGACTGGGGTTCAAGGAGACAGAAGCAGAGATACAAAAAGCAGCTGTAAAAGGCGGCCCCGTCCAGGAAACACACAGCCAGGCAGACGAGCTCCAAGGCAGCTCCCATGCCAGAGGACGAAGAAAGCACATCCACTCAGTCACGGTCAGAGAAACAGGACCACACTGGAAAACAGGCCGATCTCCAACATCTATAAACAAGGGTGTTGATAGAAGCAGCACAGCTGATGTTTCTTTCCAGGATGACGTCACAGCCAAACAGGAACAGACGAGGCAAAGCTACTCTGAGGAAAAGCAGAGAGAGCAGAAGGTTAGAGATTGAACTAACAGATTCTGCAGAATAGGAGAACAGAGAGAGAATGAAGCAGAATGATGAAATGGGGGTCCCTATGTCCTCCAAAAGTCTAAGCCTATAGCAGCATAACTATAGAGATAGCTCAGGATAACCTGAGCCACTCTAACTATAAGCTTTATCAAAAAGGAAAGTTTTAAGCCTAGCCTTAAAAGTAGACAGGGTGTCTGCCTCACGGACTAAAACTGGTAGTTGGTTCCACAGGAGAGGAGCCTGATAACTAAAAGATCTGCCTCCCATTCTACTTTTAGAAATTCTAGGAACCACTAGTAAACCTGCAGATTGAGAGCGAAGTGCTCTGTTAGGAACATAAGGAACAATCAGATCTCTGATATAAGATGGAGCTTGGCCATTTAAGGCTTTATATGTGAGAAGGAAGATTTTAAATTCTATTCTTGATTTAACAGGAAGCCAATGAAGAGAAGCCAGGATAGGCGAGATATGATCTCTCTTTTTAATTTTCATTAGAACTCTGGCTGCAGCATTTTGGATCAGCTGAAGGCTTTTAACTACAGTTTGTGGACTTCCTGATAGTAAAGAATTACAATAGTCCAGCCTTGAAGTAACAAATGCATGGACTAGTTTCTCAGCATCACCCCTGGACAGGATATTTCTAATTTTTGCAATGTTCCTCAGATGAAAGAAGGAAATTCTAGAAACCTCCTTGATATGGGACCTAAATGACAGGTCCTGATCAAAAACAACACCAAGATTTTTTACTTTATTATCTGAAATCAGTTTAATCCCATCCAAATGAAGTGACTGGCTAATCAGTTTCTTTTTCAGAGACTCTGGTCCAAAGACTATAACTTCTGTTTTGTCTGCATTCAGAAGCAGAAAGTTAAGAGTCATCCAGGTTTTTATGTCTTCAAGACATGCCTGTAATCTATGTAATGGGTTAGCTTCATCTGGATTTATAGACAGATATAGCTGGGTATCATCAGCATAACAGTGGAAATTAATCCCATGCTGTCTAATAATTCTACCAATTGGGAGCATGTATAAAGTAAAGAGAATTGGTCCTAGCACTGATCCCTGTGGTACTCCACAGGTAACCTTTGAGCGTGTTGAAGATCTATCATTAACATGAACAAACTGAATTCGATCAGATAGATAAGATTTAAACCAGTCTAGTGCTGTTCCTTTAATTCCAACAAAATATTCAAGTCTTTCTAAAAGAATATTATGGTCAACTGTATCAAATGCAGCACTAAGATCCAACAGGACGAGCACAGATACAAGTCCATTATCTGAGGCCATGAGAATATCATTAGTGACTTTCACCAGAGCTGTTTCAGTGCTATGATGAGCTCTAAAGCCAGACTGAAACTCTTCAAAAAGTTCATTATGGTGGAAGTGATCGCAAACTTGTTTGGCAACTACTTTCTCAAGAATTTTGGATAAGAAAGGAAGATTGGATATAGGTCTATAATTGACCAAGTCATCTGGGTCAAGAGACGGTTTCTTAAGCAGAGGTTTAATTACAGCAACCTTAAAAGCTTTAGGTACATATCCCTGTAACAGAGATAGATTAATCACATCTAAAATGGAGGAGGAGATCAAAGGGAATACCTCCTTAAATAACCTGGTTGGAACTGGATCTAACATACAAGTTGAAGGCTTAGATGAAGACAATAATTTTGCTAATTCAGAGAGTTCAACTGGATCAAAGCAGTCTAAACCCAGTTCAGATTCCATGACTACCTCAGGTACAATCGCGGATAGAGGAGTGCTTATGATCTTATTTTTAATAAGATCAATCTTATTTATAAAGAATCCCATAAAGTCATTGCTGCTAAGAGCAGGTGGAATGGACGGTTCAACAGAGCTATGGCTCTGGGTGAGTTTGGCAACTGTATTAAAAAGAAATCTAGGATTATTCTTATTCTCCTCTATTAATGAGGAGAAGTATGCTGCTCTTGCTTTACAAAGGGTCCTCTTATACAGCAGTAAACCATTTTTCCAGACTAGGAAGGACTCTCGCAGGCCTGTGGAGCGATATTTTCTCTCCAGTTTCCTAGCATTTTGCTTCAAAGTACGCAGCTCTGCATTAAACCAAGGAGCAAGCTTTCTATTTTTAACGGTTTTCATTTTCAAAGGAGCTGCGTTGTCTAAGGCAATACGCAGAGAACTAGCAACCCCATCAACAAAATCATCAACCTGTGAAGGGGAATAAGCTAAACTTTTGCACTCTGCAGCACTGCTCAGTGACACAGAGGAGAGAGAAAGTGAAGCAGATTCTTTAAAATTTATAACTGCACTATCTGATAAAGATCTACTAAAATTGAACCTTCTTTTGGGGGAGGAGAACTCTGTTAAAGTAATCCTGAAGGTTATTAGAAAGTGGTCAGAGAGGACAGGGTTGTGAGGAAATACTGTTATTTCTTCACATTCTATGCCGTATGTCAGCACAAGATCCAAAGTATGAAGATGAGAATGCGTGGGACTATTCACATTTTGAACAAAGCCAATAGTGTCTAAGATAGCATTAAAGGCTGCTCTTAAGCTATCGCCTTCAATGTCAGCATGGATGTTAAAATCTCCCACTATGATGACCCTGTCAGTATTTAATACCAAATCAGAAAGGAACTCTGAAAACTCATCTAAAAATTCAGAGTAAGGACCTGGTGGACGATACAAAGTTACAAAAAGAAGAGGTTTTCTTGCCTTGAAATTTGGATCAGGGAAATTAAGGGTTAAATGTTCAAAAGAGTTGTAGGTATTAACTGTTTTGGGAGTAATCAGTAAGTCAGACTGGAAGATTGTTGCTACTCCTCCTCCTCGCCCAGAACTTCTGGGGATGTGAAAATTTAAATAGCTTGAAGGAGTTGCCTCATTTATGCTCACATAATCCTCTTGCTGCAGCCAGGTTTCTGTAAGGCAAAACAAGTCAATGTGATTATCACAAATCCAGTCATTAACTAGTAGACTTTTAGAGGAAAGCGATCTTATGTTAAACAGACCGCATTTAATTGTTTTAACTTTTTCCCCAATTTGAGTTATTTTGATTTTAATTAGATTATCATGATTTACTCCTTTGGGAATCTTTGCTAATTTATTAGATTTTGGTCGTGGGCAAGACACTGTCTGGATGGAGTAAAGAGTGGGTAACAGTAGAGAAGCTG